TATTACAGGAAATTATTGAAGGACTTGGACATAAAGTGATATTTTATCCAAAATATCATTGTGAACTTAATTATATAGAAATGTATTGGGGGCTGCAAAACGTTATACTCGACAGCATTGTAATTATACATGAAAAGGGTTGCAAGAAACAGTTCCGCGTGCATTAGACTTAGTTCCTTTAGGTCAAATACGAAAATATGCTCAAAAATCAGCAAAATTTATGGAGTGTTATCGAAGGGGATTAACAGGGTTACAAGCTGAATATGTTTTAAAAAAATATAAGTCTCACCGAACTGTTCCAAATTTTGTTTTTGAAACTATCGACACGACAATTTAATAAAATAAATGATATTACGTGATTAGATTTGGACCAATCATAAATTATTTTATGGCTATCACGTGATTTGATAGTCATTTCCAATTTGAAACACAATAATTTGATTTGATGATTTATTGTGGCACACACTATACACGGGAAAAATTTCTCATTCAATATTTTAGATGGATAAAAACGTTATCAACGAGCTTTTAAACACTTCTTCGAACGTAAGTCATATTTTATTACAAGTATATTCTTCTGAGCTTGCAAACTGTTAAGCGCGATGGTAGTCTAGTCAATAAGTTACTACCATAACCCATCGTGTAAGGCTTCGGTCGCACAGTCTTGCAAGAGGTTGGTTAAGCACAATGGCAGTCTAGTCAATAAGTTACTACCATAACCCATCGTGTAAGGCTTCGGTCGTACCGACCTTTCCTCGGAGTACATTCTACTTAAAGTGTGCTCAAAGGGCTTTCTATTCTCATAAAAAACATTAGACTAAGTAATCCATTTCTTCATATGTCAAGCTATCCGGTAAAGATAGGTCCAATATTGAATGGATGTTACGTTCGTTTAACCCCGAACCATTGGAATTCTATCGACACCTGAATCGTAAAACGAAAAGCATTGCCACGAACGCATATTCTAGTGCACTTTCATTTGTTTTAACACTATCAAATAGTATTCCAGAAAAGAGAATGTCAATTTTTCAAGAAATTCAGGAAAAATGGAAGGTGAGAACATAGATACGCATAATTTACCTCTTTTGATACGAATTTTAATACATTTATTTTATGCAGAAGGGGATTTTCAATAAAGACTGGAGTGTGTTTGTCGCGGAAAATCGGCGTCAATATCTATAATAGCATGTTATAACGTTCAAAGAAGTTATAATCGTGAGGTTTCTTCTCACTCCTTAGTAAGTATATTCCTAAATTTCTGTATTATTAAATTCTATTATTAATAATTGTCGTCATTATGGTCAGAAACGCAAGCGTGATTATCCAATTACTCCCAACAAACCAATTATCCAACCGGAGATGAAAGAAATGTACCCGCAAGTGTCTTTTACAAAAAAATGTAAGGTTGTTGTTTTCGAAGATGAGTCAAAAAAAGTTGAGCCAGGAAAGGACGGTCAAAAAGCCGAGATTACTTTCGAAGACGAGTTAGAAGGTTTAGAAAAAGATGATCAAAAAGCTTTTGAAGAGGAGTCGAAAGGTTCGGAGAAAGAAGATAATCCGTTCATAGCTATTGATTGGCATGCGTGGCTAGAAAGAATTCTGGAAGTCAGTAAAGAGCTACCTATTTATAAGAAACAACTGCTGAATAATCATTTATGAGCTGAGCTTTGTTATTCTTTTTTTCTATTGTTTTTTTTGCAGTTTTCGATTGAAGAAGCCCGAATTAAAATTTTGACATATAATTATACACCCGCAAATGGATTCGAAGAGATTATGATAAAATATATCGGGAAAGTCTTAATGGATTTGTAAGTTATTTTTGTCTTTTTAATGTGTAATATGTACTCTAATCAAATGTTGATTGATCATTAGTATAAATAAAATCATTGATATTCCCGGTCATGTAATGACCATTGACGAAATTGAGAGGGATTGGATTGTTAATAAAATTTCTCCACTTTTCACTTATATGCAAGCGACATTCGTAAACAAGATTAAATTTCATTGGTGAGTGCTGTTCTTTTCCTAACTTATAAACTCATTGTTGACTACTTACATATTAATTGTAAATCATAGGATCGAATCTGATATCGAGCCAACGCACGAACGACTTGTATTCGAAGGAAACACTACAAACAAATATCGAATGAAAGCAGACGTTATTGGGGTTCGGCTTTCTGACAGCCGGCAGGTTGTCTTTTTGGAGATGAGCGGTGCTCCAACAGACTTTTTGAAGCCACACTCAATTGGTGATACATATAAGACACTTCAAGAGCGAATAGATTCCCTAAATTCGATGCTTTTGAACTATTTGAATTATGACGTAAGATTCGCAGAGAAAATTCGCTCACTAACGATTCAAGGGATCAGTGAGTATTTTTTTCCGTTAATTGTTATTTTGATTAAAAGACAGACTTTCATTTGTTATTTTTTAACCGTTTTATCATAGGAGATCGACTAACTCTTAGAACGTTATTTTTAAGAGGAAAAGATGACTATAAGGATGAAGAAGAATTTTCTGCGGGTTTTCCACTTAGTTGGGACTTCCGGTTCCAATTCATTGAAATATTTGAATTGATGGAGTTCGTAATCGTATCCGTTTTAGAATATCCAGATGTCATAAGGGAACTAATTAAGCATCCAGCAACCTCACCTGAATTTTCAATCCGAAACTGCATTTCATGTTCATAGCATCAGTTTTATTTTCAAACAAAATACGTGAATGTCAAAAATATAAGTTTACATTGAAACAGTTTTTTCCACGATCTAGACTAGTAATTTTTAACCAATATATGCGAATGTGTTAAAAAAGGAGGTTACATGCCATTTTTTATCTACTGCGCGAAGTCACATGATTCTGATCGCTCCCTGAGGGAACGGTTTTTCATAACCTAAAATTTAGGCTGGTCGCAGTGAGGTACTAAAATAATTCTTTGCAGATCGATCACCTGGCCGAATGCGCTTAACGCAAATGCGCAGTATGATATCGGAAACTCTTGCCGAGCCTTTCGACGGCTGTTCCGAACCCGCATCATAAATACTGCAGAATGCTATGCGAAGTAATACGTCATTGACGTTCATCATAGCCAATAGATCTCATATTTCTATTGGCTGGAAGTGAGAAGAGTCTTCACGGATATCATATGACATAGCATGTATCACGAGCTAAAACTCCCGAACTTTTTGTATTAATTTTCACATGTATTTTTTACTCCCAATGATGTAATAATAACCGATCACAAATAAAAAAGAGAAAATTAAGTAGATCATAATTTCATCGGTGATAAATATTCATGTATCACATTATTAGCCATAGATCCTGCTTCTATTGGTTAATAGTAAGAAAAATCTTCATGATACAGTATGCTACCTTATTTTCTTGCTTGGCTTATCAATTCAATCCTTACCATGGTACTGTAATTATAAATATACTAACATAAATTTTTTTCACCTTAATGGCATCCTAGGAATCGATTGCATTATTTTAATGAGTTTGGATTAAAGCTCCGAACGGTTCATATTAATCTGAAAATTTTCAGTTCAGATCAACTTCGGTTCAGTTTCAGATTGCAAAAAATTCAATCAGAAAATTTTCAGTCGGTTTGGATTTTTTTCAGATTATAAATCTAATCCAAACTGAAAAAAATCCGAATTGAACCGAAAATTTCAGATTAATCCGAAATTTCAGATCGTTCTAATTGAACGATTTTCTTATTGTTCGTTTAGAATGATAACTTCAATTATTCCAAATGAACAATAACTTCAATTGTTTCAAATGAACGATAACATCAATCATTTTAAATAAATGATATTCTTATCATTTATTTGGAACGATAAATTTAATTGTTCTAATTAAACGATTTTCTTATCGTTTGTTTAGAACGATAACTTCAATCATTTTAAATGAACAATTCTTTTATCATTCGTTTAAAACAATAATTCAATTATTCCAAATAAACGATTCTTTTATCATTCGTTTAGAATAATAATTAAATCGTTTTAATTGAATGATAAAAAATCGTTCATTTGGAATAATAACTTCAATCATTTCAAATGAACGATTCTTTATCATTCTTTTTGAACAATAATTTAATCATTCTAATCAAATAATATTCTTATTGTTCGTTTGGAATGATAATTTCAATCATTCCAAATAAATGATTTTTTTATCATTTATTTGGAACGATAGATTTAATCATTCTAATCAAATGATTAAAATCGTTTATTAATAATAAAAATATTATTGCAGAAAGCTGTGAAATGTGAAATTGTCAAATGAATATTTGACTATTTTCTTCAAATAAAATATTCGTACTAACTATTTTCTCTTTGACTTTGCAATTAATCTTATCTAGCTTTACCACTTACTTGAAATTATCAAATTTTACCATATAATTTTGTTACTTGGCTTTGATAATTCTGCCACTTAGCTTTGTAAGTCAATTTTGCAACTTAGCTTTGCTAGCTTTGCCACTTAACTTTTTATTACTTGGCCTTATCAATTTTATCATATAAATTTACTATTTAATTTTGATATTTTAGCCACTTGGCTTTATAATTAATTTTGTAACATAATTTTGTTTGCTTAGCCACTTAGCTTTTTGCTACTTGACCCTATCAAATTTTGCTATATAATTTGCTAATTGGCTTTGATGACTTTGCTAATTAGCTTATATTTATTAAAAATATTATTTATCTTTGCTTCCACTTGGTCTTTTACTATTTAACTTTGTCACATTAGCTATTTAGCTTATAACTTAATTAATTAATTAGCTTTATTAGCTTTTGCCACTTACTTTGTTACTTTACTAACTTTATTACAACATTATAAATATCATAGAAAATTATCTGATACTTTAATTTATCTTTTAATTTTTTATAATTTTATTTAATAAAAAAATTTTAATAAATAGAAAATGAATTATATTCTGATAATAGTGAAGAATTTTTAAATGAAGAATTCATTCAAGATGTGGAAGATCCTAACCAAAATATCCAAGATGAGGGATCTAATTATGAGGATAAAAAAAAACAGAGATCTATAATTCATAGTAA